GGGGCCGGCCCGGGGCCGCCATGGAGGACGGCGTGTGGGGTGAGGGGGGGGGGGGGGGGGGGGGGGGGGGGGGGGGGGGGGGGGGGGGGGGGGGGGGGGGGGGGGGGGGGGGGGGGGGGTTCGTGAGGCGCGGGCCAATGGCGCGGCGAGGGGCGGTCACGTGGCGGGCGCGGCGGGAAAGCGGGGCGTGGGTCACGTGGGTGGGCGGGGCCAATCAGTGGGGGCGAGGCCATTCATCTGGTGGCCACGCCCCTTTTGAATGGGCCACGCCCCCTGTGGGCCACACCTCTTTATGAATAGGCCACGCCCCTTTCGCTAAACCACGCCCTAACTGCATATGCAAATTAGACCACGCCCTCTGCACGTACCAATATGTATTAGTGATGGCCACGCCCCTTTGGGCCAGACCACGCCCTCTTCTTTACGCTGAAGGCTTAATTGAGGGGGCGGGGCTTGACTGGGAAGGGGCGTGGCCAAGGAAATGAGGGGCAGGTGTGAAATGGGCGTGGCCTTGAAGATGTGGGCGTGGCCAGGGAGGTGCCCAGGTGTGCCCAGGTGTGATGTGGGCGTGGTCATGAAGCTGTGAGTGTGCCCAGGTGTGCCAGGGCTGTGCCCAGGTGTGCCCAGGTGCGCCAGGGATGCACTCAGGTGAGCTCAGGTGTGCAGGGCAGTACCAAGGTGTACCCAGGGTGGTGCCCAGGTGTGCCCAACTGTGCCCAGGTGTGCCCAGCTGTGCCCAGGTGTGCCCAGGTGTGTCAGGTGTGCCCAGGTGTGCTCAGGTGTGCCCAGGGTGATGCTCAGGTGTACCCAGGGTGGTACCCAGGTGTGCCCAGGTGTGTCCAGCTGTGCCCAGGTGTGCCCAGGTGTGCCCAGGTGTGCCCAGGTGTGCTCAGGTGTGCCAGGTGTGCTCAGGTGTACCCAGGAGTGCTCAGGTGTATCCAGGGTGGTGCCCAGGTGTACCCAGGGTGGTGCCCAGGTGTGCCCAGGTGTACCCAGGAGTGCTCAGGTGTATCCAGGGTGGTGCCCAGGTGTACCCAGGGTGGTGCTCAGGTGTGCCCAGGTGTGCCCAGGTGTGTCAGGTGTGCTTAGGTGTACCCAGGGTGGTGCCCAGGTGTGCCCAGGTGTGCCCAGGTGTGCCCAGGGTGGTGCCCAG